AGCCACTACTCGGAAGGAAGGTTGGGCAATCCTACTTCCGTAGTGATACTGCCTCGGAAACCCAAGGAGGGGTCGCTATGAGTTGGGGCCGACTCGAAGGCAAACAACAACAACTCTCCATCAGCGACTACGGAAGGGGAAGAAGGTGAGTATGTAGACAGGGCAGATATGGCATGCTCTGCGGCTTTCCTGCCTTCAAAGGTAGATTATTTTGGCTTCTCCCGAGTTCTGGCAGATTCAGGGTACAGGCGCAGAAGGGGCCGCCGCTGCAGATGCCACCTTTTAAGGCAGCGAGGGAGGGCGAGGGTTTAGGCGTTGTCGAGCGCCCGCGCGTCCGAATTGCTCCAGGCTCTGCGCAAGTACCGGGGACTCCGAGGGGCAGGAGAAGGGGGTCGGGGTGCCGGTCCTCTGCAGGTGATGTGGAGAGCAGGAGCGGGGACATGTAATGTACCTTCGGAGGCGTGCGGAGCCAGAATAGTGTTTCGGAGATAACCACCAGACCAAAATCAGAACCTTTTCCAGGGAGCCCAGAGGTCTCAGTCCCGGGCCTCCACTGGAGGCAGAGTGACCCTAGCCGGGACTCACCCTTTTTGGGCCCTCGATTTCCTCCGACGGCTGGGGCCCCTTTGAGTTCTGCGCCTCCTGCAGGCGTCAGGTAACGGAGTCAGCCACCTGGTCCCGGCCCGCAGTGCAATGGGGCTTCCTGCTCCACAGTGCGCGGTGACACGGCTGCTACGGGGACTCCCCGTCTCCACAGAGATGGTCCGTTGCCACCTCGTCCCTCCCGAAGCGGTTAGATCCCTCTGCAGCTAGCCCAACAGCACCGGCCTTCAGACCCTGCTCTCCCCGACCGCGAACTTCCCCGCCACCAACGCGTCTCTCCGGCCAGCCTCCGACCGCTAGCGATTGGCTAACGGATGCAGGGCCGGGCCAGGCACTCAGCACTGCCCTCAGCTACCGGGGGTCCGGGCCCCTCTTCGATTGGCTGGAGTTTACGCCAGTCACGGGGCGACGAGCGCCCCGCCCCTCAAGGCCGTCCAGGAGCTGGCCCCGCCCCCGCCGCTGCCCCGCTCCGCCTCCCTCCCAAGCGCGGTTGGCTCAGCCCGGCGTTCCGCCTCATTCGCTAAGCAGGTCCATGAATTGTCAGCGCGCTTCGGGCGGCTGTTGAACCGAGGCGGCTACTGGGCTTGCCTTTCTCCGTTTGAGGTGCCCGCCCGAGCCAATGTGCTTGGGTCCCCTGGGGAGAGAGCAGACGCCGATTCGGGGCAACTTGGGATTCAGGATCCAGAGCAGGGACGTCGATTTGCCATCGGGACTCGGCGAGGAGGGTGAGTGGCCGAGCGGAGGGCGAACGGCTCCTCTCGGCGCCGTTCGGTGGCCGGCGAGCCGGTGAAGGGGATGCGTCCTGGCGCGCGGGTCGGTCTGTCCGAGCCTGGCCGCCGTGGGGAGGTCAGAGCTGGGCAGGATTTACTCCATACCAATATGTACACTCCCGAACTTCTTGTTTTCAAAGCATCCCAACTCGGCGCGGGACGCGGCTCTGCGTGCACATGAACTTGGCGTGTTGTAATTATCATCTTTAGGTGGGGTCTGGGACGCGTCCCCTGCCCTTCTGTGGCGGCGACACGGCGCTGGGGGCGGCCTCCATGCCACAGTGGTGCGTGGATGGCGGTTCCTAGATGGCGTGCACTCGGTTCCTGAAAAATTAACCAACGCCGAAGCGGATGCGGTGTTATAACCTGGGGTCTGGGTAGAATACGTAAGCTGAACAAGCGGTCATCGGGTGCAGAATGGTTCTTCCACGGTCAGGGAACTTAAATGACCAGCTGAGTTCTGCAGCACGGATTTCAGTGTTCTGTAGTTATTGCAAGGAACTGACAGCACGGATATTAAACTTTGTAAAGTAATTACTTTCTGTTAGCACTTGAATCTGCTTCCCTCCGAAAGTGCTTGGACCACCACATCCACCCGTAAGAAATGTCCGAAGGACTTGGTTAGGGCCAAGGGTAAGCTGTGGTCTGTCCCAGTGCTTGGAGCCCTGGAAAATCCAAGACGTGCCTGTGAAAGGGACCGTCAGAATACTTGGCTGGTGTTTATTTAAGCACCTGTGTGTTGAAGTGATGAAGTTATGACAGGAACTGACAACAGAGGATTCAAGGTTAAATCTGACGCGTCCTTTGTGACTTGGGCTGGCATAGATTTTTTTTTTTTTTTCTTTAATGGGTGAAGAAGTAAAAGCATCTTGTTTGGCTGTGTGTTGGGTGTGGGGCGGCAATTATGTGTGTGCAGTTTATATTTTGTATAGACTAAATAGAATTCAATTTACTGTTTTCTTTTAATTCTTACTTGACATGAATGAGAGCTTATTGAGAGTACTGGATAGAAACTTGAGTAGAAAATTTGGGACTATTTCGATCTTTGAAACCAGAAAAACATTGAGATACAGAGTTATATATGTGTCTGTGCAGCATATAATACATATATGCTGCACACAGCTATACACATATATAGAGTCACTATGAGTAGGCACTGACTTGACAGCAATGGGTTTGGTGATATCTATCTATCTATACATAGCTAAAGGAGCTCTCGTGGTATAGTGCCTAAGGCATTTGACTGGCCGCATCAGGCTGGCGGTTCAAACCCACCAGCCACTCCTTGGAAGGAAGATTGGGTAATCTACTTCCCTAGAGGTACTGCCTCAGAAACCCAAGGAGGGTTTGCTATGAGTCAGAAACTACTTGTGGGCAGTGAGGTTTTTTTTTTTATTGTTTGTTTTTTGTTTTTTAATACATAGTTGATAGGTGAATGAAGTAGAAGTATCAAAAGAGGAAACTCAGCATTGAACTTCCCTAGGTCATGGAGATGGATCCTCTGAGCTGTGTGTGGGGTGAGTGAAGAGAGGGAGAGAGAGGAAAGAGAGAGAGCAAGTGTGTGTGTATGTGTGTGTGTGTGTGTGTGTGTGTGTAGGCAAGCACGTCTGGGTATGCCTGCTCTGTCTGGGTCAGTGTATGTCCATGAACTTTACGAGCATTCAGTTCAATACCATTCGGTGCAGATTCCTCTTTCCTGGTTTATAGCCCAGCAGCCGCCAGCTGGCCCATCTGTTAAAATATAACATGTACACTTCAGTTGGAGCACTAGGGTGGAGCATGGGTAGGGGGCAACCCTCAGCAGAAACAACATGATACAAACAAAGCCTAATCTCACGTTCTATTTTCATTCAGTATTTGGCCTGAACTTGTGATTTTGGTGAGGAGGAAGAAGGAGTAGTATCTCTTCAGAAATGTCAGGCCACATTTTATGAAATAAAATTTTATGAAATAATACATAGCCACACTTTGAGGAGTGGAGAACTTATAGGAGAAAAAAAAAAAATCCACCCAGAAAAGAAATACAGTGCTTGTCACATCACCATGCAGCACTGGTTTACTGCTCTGCAGTAGCATGTATATCAGAAACTATTTTCTTTTGCTCCTTAAGACAATGAATTAAAACTGAATTGGTTTGCATGGAAAGAAAGGAAAGAAAAAAAAAAACCTTAATAGAAGTAAACAGAGTTTTATTGCAGAGCCTATTTAGTGTGCTAGAGTTAGGACTGCCTTAGTAATTACAATGAAATATATTTTAGGAATTTATAACTTGGATATATATTCATATTCAGCCTAATCACTAGTTGAAGTGGTTCAGAACTTATAGTTTAAAAAATAATATAAAAAAAACCTTTATCACAAACGTTCTTATGACTAAAAGGGCATGGGAGGAGTAATAACAATTAAGTTCCTGCACCCAAGTGACTGATACTTTAAAACACTATTAATCCCTTTGGTAGCATAATTATTCTGGGTGATGAAATACAGGCAGTAGTTTTGAGAAGCATATTTGATATTGTTCCCAGTAATTTTATAATTACATTTTAGTAATGGTGTCCATTATACTGTATATGGGCAGAATGAACTGGAATGGTTATTAAGAAGTTATCACTAGAAGTATTGCTTTCATTTTTATGGCATTTAAGTGTTTTGGGAAAAATATACAAAGCCTTAATCCATGACTGTCTTTAAATTTCTGGTGGACTGTATAGATGCAATAATGCTCCCACCTTGTTGTAGGTTATTGGAATCAACTGGGTTGCCTCTTAGAATATAGTTCTTGGCCTTTTCTCCAGTCCCGGGGATTCAATTCAGGAATCTGGGGTGGGACATGGGAACCTGCATTTTTAACAAGCACCCCCAGGTGATTCTTATGCCAGTAGTCTCCTAACCACAGTTTGAGAAACACTAGAAAAATGTTTATGAGATAAAAGAATGATTATAGTCTGTGAGTTAATTTAACAAATGTTCAGAAATTTCCAGGTGGCATTTCCCAGCATAGTGAAATTATAGATGATATGATAAGTCTTTCTGTCCTTAACAGTGAACATCTCTTGTCCTGTATTTGAAAAGGTTTGGAATTCCTATCTCAGGTTGACCCCAAATCTAAGGATGTCTGCCTGGGAAAGCAAGGTAATTCACAACCTCTCCCCAGATTAGGCCCTCCACTTCCTCTAAGGTCAGTCAGTGGGTGTCTAAGTTGCTGTGGACTGACTTGCTAGACCTAACTCATAGTTGTTGAGCATTTCTTCCTGGAAGATGCAAGGATCCTAGTCCTTAGTAGACACCTTTGTCTCTTTAACAGCCCTTCCCAGTTTGGGAACTAGTACCAAAGTGCAAACCTCACACCTCAGTGGGGCTAGTACAGACTTACAAGAGATCAAGGGTCTACTTGAGAAACTGTAGCTGGCCTGCCTCTCAGCCAGGTGAATGTCCCAGGCCATCTACCCAGAGGCCCAGAGATTCAGATTTTCTGAAAATCACCTTAGTAGTATTTTGAGCTATCCAATTAATTGGGTAGATAAATTTTCTCAGCATCACAGAAATGTGTGGAGACTCCTTTCACTGAAATTAATGTGGGTTTTGATTTCTTAATTATTGTCGTTGTTAAGTGCCATCAAGTTGATTCTAACTCAGAGCGACCCTGTGTGCAATAGAATGAAGCACTGCCCAGTCTCGTGCCATCATCACAATCCTTTCTGTGCTTGAGCGTGTTGTTGCACCCACTGTACCAATCCATCTCATTGAGGCTCTTCCCCTTTTCCTCTGACCCTCTGCTTTGCCAAGCATGATATCCTTCCTCAGGGACTGGATTTATTAATTATTGCCAGTTAATTTGTTTCTTTTTACATTTATAGTTTGATACTGACATTTGGGTTCTTTCCTCCCATTTTAAGCTGGCATAATTCTCAATTTAAGACTTTCAGATAAGGTTTAAAAGAGAAATGATTTATCAGAAGTTGTTGCCCTTCCTTCTTTCTACCATTCAACACTTAGAAAACCAAGTGAGTTCTTCTCAGAGGTCACAAGTACTAGAATATTTACATCCTGATGATAAAAGGACATCGATAAGCCTGGGCACTGAACCTGGGTTTTTCTAGACCACTGGATCATCACTGGAACTTTTACAGAGCATTTTCTGTTTTAAAAAGCACTTGGCAGCTATGTTTATAGGTCACTTATCTTAACAGTCTTTTGAATACAATGTTTTTTTTTTTTTTGCTTTGTTACAGATGAGCACACAACAGCCACAAAAGGATAATATTATTTAAATGTTATCTTTCATATTCAAAGATGACACCAATAACTGAGAAGTCATTCTTGCATTTTGAATTATTTTTATTTAGCATTGTGGTGATGTGATAGAGTTATGCTTAGTCATTCATATTGCCTACAGTTTTTTTTTTTTTTTTCACCTGTGTCTTCAAAACTTATATATTGACTGTGACCTTGGAATAGTTTTCTTTATAAAGTTGACTATTGTATAAGATAATTGGTTCAGTGATCCTGACCTTAATCAGTCAGCCTTGACCCAGAGAGGCAAATAATTTGCTAAAGGTCACAGGGTACCAGAGCGGCAAAGACTACACGTAGAATTCTTTGGACCTGTATTTTAGACCTATATTCTTTGTCTGTTGAGTCATGTTATGATGCTAATGATGTCTTCTACTCTAGCAAAAGACAGTTGTTTCTATTTCATTTGCCCAGCTTCTGCATGGTTGGCTGGACTTAGAAAAATTAAAAAGCCTAAGGTATATCACAGCCCCTGACCAATGGGACCAATTTCTGTCCAGTTTAAAAATTGCAGTAGAATTCTGCTTTTCTAGAAACTGGGCTATAGGTCATGCAAGCTTCTAAGTAACAATTCTTACTTTTTTGGCCATGGCATTCTTTTGGCATCCAACTTCCATTTGACAAATTCTTTTGCAAGTTTTTGATACTTCATTCTTTACCCT